TACTTATAAAGAATTAAAGTTATTAATAGTTAATTAAAGTTATGTGATAATAAAAACAAGTCAAGCAAAAAAAAAAAAAAAAAAAAAAAAAAAAAAAACACGGAGGAAACGATATTTTATCTATTTTACAATATTTCTAATCGAACTATATTTGTTTGCCTCAATTGATTTTTCACAAAATTATTAATAATATATTTGAAATAATTACAAATTAATCCCATGATTTTATTATTCTATGGAGTATGTATTTGTGATAATTTTATCACAAGAGTTTATAAAAATTAACCCACAAAATTAGAATGGGGCAAATAAATAAGGACAAAGAAATTACTATGTATGGGATACGGCATATTCAATGTCGAAATATTATTGACTTTAATTTGTACTTTGTCTTCTAGTATGATAACATACATTCTCTAATCATCCTTGAGATTCTTAATTATATACATGCACCAACGGACCAATCTGATTAAAATTGTGCAAGGTACACTCAGTGGAATATTTTGTTCATTTGGATTACTATTGCTTATATAATCATTAAATAAGTCAAAATTAACTTTAGATTTACCTTGCATAGTAAAAATTAACGTAGGCTATGTGAAATAGTCAAATAGATTAATGGTTAACTATCTTAATTAACTATGAAAACCTATTTTTGGGAAATAACTAGGTTAGATCCGTGTCATACACGATTTTTCAATTTTTTTCATGGAGTATTAATTTATTTATTTTTTCTTTTAAATCTCAAATCAAACTACTTATTATTTTATTTATTTATTTTTTTTTATCTTTTTTGAATACATATTATATTGCTTCCTTCTATTTTGAACCTTGATGTCAATTTATTTATATTTTAAATATGATAATTTTTCATTCACCAAGTTGAAAAATATATATTTATGATTTTTTTTTACTATAAATGATCATTATACATTAAAAAGTAATTACTAATATATGAATTTTTTTATACAAAGATCGATATGGTTATATATTTATGTTTATAAATATATTATTCTACGATTTTTTTCCCTAAATTTTGGAAGTAAATATTTTGCGTATATAATCTATCAATTTTTAAAAGTTTTATTTTTTATTTTTTTAATTTAAAAAATATATTAAGGACACACTAGAAGATGACACGTGTCATTGCTGGTGTGTCTTTTAGTATATTGTTATTGATTGATGATTAACTATGACAATCTAGTTATTATTTAAAGAATACAATTGAGTACTCTCTCCGTATTTTATTACTTGCTCTAATTCTACAAGTGCGGAGTTTTAGGAGAAATAGTAAAACATAATACTTTGTGTAATACAAAGAAAGTGGGGTTGTAGGAAAAATAAAAGTATGATAGTTGGAGGAAAGTGAATATTGAAATATTAAACTAACCTATGTGAGAGTATTTCCTCTGTGAGAGTAACCTCCTAAATAAGTAATCCATGAGTCTCTGACCGATCAAATAACCGCTAAATAAGTAAACCCCGGCTACTATGTTACTAGCCACATATAAAAGATTATACCACATAAAGATAACTATCAAAGTTGATATAGTTATACCTCTAATGTAGTTTTGGTTATATAAGTAAGATTGTATTTATTTATTTTTATTAATCTTGTTGTAAATCAAAATTTGATTAAGAATGTTTTAAACATATTGAGTAATTGATTAAGATTTTTTATTTATTTATTTTAAATTGATTACTTATTTATTTTTAAGAAATTGATTAAGATTACTTGATAAACTTTAAAATGTGATTATTGTACTGTGTTAAGCCACGCCTCAAATGCACAGTAATTGATTAGGATTTTTTTTTTCTTTTTTTTTTTTTTGAGGAAACAATTGATTAAGATTACTTGATAAACTTTAAAATAGGATTATTGTACTAGCCAATAGCCATGCCTCAAATGCACAAGGAGTCTAATTCATATGCGGACAAAGGCCACGTGATGAGTACCCTGAAGTCCTGAACAAACTATCAATAATTTAGCTATCCACTCTTATCAACTACGGCTTATATCTAGCAACCATTATTATCCGATTCATCCGTACAGGGATAACAGTGGATTTGTATTCTACCCGAATCTGTAGATCCAGATTTGTGAAGGGTCTTCAAAATTTGGACCGTTGAATCCAGTTTCTATTAGAAAAAGGGATTTGAATTCGGGTCTGACTCCTAAATCATACTTCCTCCGTTTTTTTTTTACTTGCAATACTTTTCTAAAAAGGAAATGTCACAATACTTGCATCACAATATAAAAGGAAAGTTACTTAAGAGAAAAATTATACTATTTCCCCTTATTTAAAGCACATGACCCACTAAATTACACTCCTAACAAATACTCATCCCATTTTAAAGTGTATTATATCATGTGAACCCCACATTTCTTTAATACCGTGAAAAAGTGTGTGTTGCATCTAAAAGAAAACGGAGGAAGTACTTTATTGATGTTCATATTGTATTTATCATCATTGTTTTTTCGCTTGCTTATTTGTAACATCGTACTTTTTTCGTTGCTTATAATTTTTATTTTAAAGTATAAGTGTATCAGTTGGTTACTTTGTATTTTTAGATTAATGGTATAACTTTAATTTAGGTTGAATTTAATAATCTCCGATGAAGTTTGAAATGCAGTTTTTGACCCAAACATTACATTTAATGCAAAAAATTAGGCAAAATATATTAGACTTGTTTTGGACCCGGATCCGTTGTCTCCATTTTCCAAACGTGATGGATCATGATCTTAGATACAAAAACAGATTTGGATTCAGGTCTATCCGAACCCAGTCCAAATCCGACCTATTGTCATCCCTAACACTAAACGTAGTAAAAAACGCTTACTACATTTTCATGGGAAGGAACCTTTTTATGTGGAGGGGACGTTGAAGTGTAAACTTCTCAAACATCACATACATTGAAAAAAAAAGGGAGTGTTTAACCTTTTATAATGCTAAGAAACTATTCTTACCTCCAATTGCCATATAATTTTGGGATAGAGCCTCATCTACACAAAAGCGTACTATTATTCAATAAATGGCTAGTGCTCTTGCTTTTATTACTAACAATATTATCATAGTATTAATAGTATTAATTACAATAAGGATAGTTAAGATTACGAGTTAGTTCAACAACGTCTACCTGTTGGCGTTGGGTCAACCTAGTTGGTGTGCGGTGTACTTAGAGTAGGTGAAACCAATTTTGCGTAGGTGTTGTGGTGTTTTAGCAGTTGGCGTGGTGTTTAACCCATTTGGCGTAGAGTTGATAAAGTTCTAACAAATGGCGTGGTGTTCAATCCGGGTTGGCGTAGGTTAACACTACTAGAAATAGGCTAAATAGCGACGGAATTGTTGCGACGAACCCCGTTTTCCGTCGCAAATTTCACATTTTTCGACGGAATATGTTTCGTCGCTATTTAGCGACGGAAAAGTTGAGTTACGAGGCTGTATCCGTCGTAAATTTTCCGACGGAAATAAATTCTGTCATAAAAATAAATTTCCGACGGAATATTCCGTCGTAAATTAATTTACAACATAATATTCCGTCGGGAATTTATGTTTACGACGGAATTTATTTCCGTCGCAAGTTATGCGTTTTTTTTTTAAATCAAAAATCTGGCTCGACCTAAAAAAAAGGGGGAAAGAGCAATTGAAGCAGCAGAGAGAGAAAGAGAAGGAGAGAGAAAAAGAGAAGGAGAGAGAGAAAGAGAAGGAGAGAGAAAAAGAGAAGGAGAGAGAGAAAGAGGGCGGCGCGTTATCTCGAGCAACGGTGACCGGCGACGTTAACGCCTGCCGTCCACCCAAACCCGCCGCCGAGAACGAAACAGAGAAAGAAGGGTGAAAGAAAGAGAGAGAAGAATGAGAAAGAGAAAGAGAAAGAGAAGGAGGAAGAGAGAGCTTTCGAGGAAGTGTTTCCGCCGATTGACGGCTGTGGTTGTTTCCGGTGACGCAACTGCCGCGTCTAGGTAAGTGTTGCCCTCTAAGTTTTGGTTTTTTTTTTTAATTTTGCAAAAAAACCACCACCGGCTAACCTTTAACCACCACAACGCAGCCTTTGCGCCGCTCCTCCTTCCCCTCGCCGTGACTGAAGCACCTACATTGATATTGGCTGAAAATTCAGTAATTGTCCTTTGCTTCCCCCCTTTTTTTCAATTTAATTTTGTTTACTTATAAACCCTTACTTATTTTATTTATTTTTATTTTTTTGTAGGATTTGTACAATTTTGTTGGTTTAATTGTTAAAAAGAAGTGCAGATCTAAAGGTTAGTTACATTACAATGTGTTTTAGTTTAATTTTTTTAGAATTATGTTAATATAAAGTATCTTAATTTAGTTTAGTTTTTTTAGAATTATGTTAGTTTAATTTAATATATAAAACGGTAGTTTGGTTTGGTTTAGTTTAATATGATATATTAGTTTACTTTGGTTTGGTTTGATTTGGTTTATATTAATAGTATGGTGTTATGATTTGTTTCTCTTGTTTAGTTTAATCTTGATATATTTGTTTAATATTATGTATGTTAGTTAAGTATATATATCTTTAAAAAAATCATTTGCATAATCATATGCCTAGATACCCGTTCAAGACATACACATTAGGAGTATGTCTTGAATAGTCCCGGGTTGGGACTGTCCTTGTACGTTTATTCTCACTTAGGTGGTGAATGTATTCCTTTGTTTTAATTCTAAGGAAGATCCTTGCTTGTCATTTCTCTACAATGTTCTCTAGGTACATATATAGGTGTTTCTAATCGCCTATATTGTGTACTCGGGGAACTGTAGGGAAATGCTGCCGGATTTTCCATAGAATTGAAATTCTGGCATACATTCACTAATGAGATTGAACGTACAAGGATGGGTTAGGTTGGAGTGATAAGGACCCTTGGAAATCATTTCTCTTCTCATTTGCATTTCCATAACAGTTTGATCTATGATGAATATATATTGTGCTTTATGACTAATGTGATTAATGGCATATGTGTTAGTTGTGTAGAACTTGTAATCATGAAACGAAAAGAACGTAGCTGGATGTACGAAAGGAAGGTTGGGAATTCTATTAATCCTGAGTTCTTGAAGGGGGTAGATGAATTCCTTAAATATGTGGAAGATCATCCCGAGAGTAGCAACCCGAATGAATTTAGGTGTCCATGTTTTAAATGCAAAAACAAACGTCTCTGGGATCCAGATACGGTCAAACTTCATTTGTATCGCAGCGGTTTTTTACCTAATTACTACGAGTGGATGTGTCATGGGGAAGGGTTTCCAGGAACTCGTAGAAGGGAGTCAAATGAATATCGTGAAATGGTTTTGGATGCCTTTGGTCAGTCTCAAGATCAAGGCCATTCCGAAGAGCCACCTGTTTCATTAGAGGAGGAGCCTAATGCACAAGCCAAGCCATTTTTTGATTTGTTAAGGGCTTCTGAACAACCGTTATACGAAGGGAGTTCATTGTCTGTGTTAGAGATGGCTTCTAGAATCACTAGCCTAAAGTGTGAGTATAATTTGCCGCACAGATGTGTTGATGGATTTGCTTCTTTGGTTAATGAAGCGATTCCTAACAACAACCACATGGCCGAGACATTCTATGAGGTCAAGAAAATTGTTAAGGGGTTAGATCTGCCCCATGAAAAGATTCATGCATGCCCGAAAGGATGTATGTTGTTTTGGAAAGATGATACTCAATTATCTACATGTAGGGTGTGTGGCAGCGACCGATACAAGAAGACTTCTAAAGGTAGCTTAGTGCCTTTGAATGTTCTATTTTATTTCCCTATCACACCTAGGTTGCAAAGGCTTTTTGCAACTAAAAACATTTCTGAGGAAATGACATGGCATGCTAAAAATCCTCGAGTTCAAGGCACATTGGCACACCCTAGCGATAGTGAAGCGTGGAAACACCTAGATAGTTGCTTTCCTGAGTTTGCCTCTGAACCTCGTAATGTTCGACTTGGCCTATGTACGGATGGATTTGCTCCACATGGTCAGTTTGGGGGACAATATTCATGTTGGCCTGTCATTTTGACCCCAGTATAACTTGCCTCCGTCAATGTGTATGAAAAGACAGTTCATGTTTCTTCATTACTCGTTTCGGGTCCTAAAAACCCTAAGGGCAACTTGGATGTTTACATGCAGCCGCTCATACACGAGTTGAAACAGTTGTGGGAAGTTGGGGCAAATACTTACGATATTTCGAGAAAACAAAATTTCAATCTTTGAGCAGCCATCCTATGGACCGTTAGTGACTTCCCGGCTTATGGTATGTTATCTGGTTGGACCACAGCCGGTAAGAAGGCTTGTCCATATTGCATGGAGAAAAGCAAAGCATTTTGGCTCGAAAATGGTGGTAAGGTTTCTTGGTTTGACTGCCATCCTCAATTCCTTCCGACAAATCATCCTTTTCGAAATAGTAAAAATGCATTGTGTAAAAACAAAGTCGAAAAAGGTTCACCACCTCACATCATGTCAGGAGAGGAACTTTGGGAATGTGTGAAAAACCTCCCGAGAGCAACAGATGGCCCCGAGGCACTGAAACGTCTCAAGAATGTAAAAAAAGGGTGGTTCAAGCAAAGCACTCTATGGGACCTTCCATATTGGAAACATCTGCTTGTTCGTCACAACTTAGATGTCATGCACGTTGAAAAAAACTTTTTTGATCAGTTGATTCACACTATAATGGACGTGAAAAAGCAATCTTCTGACAGCCCATCAGCTCGGAATGACATTGCTAAATACTGTAAACGGCCCCAGCTACATCTTCAAGAGGATGATAGAGGAAAAGAATTCATGCCAAAGGCTCCATTTTCTCTTGACAAGGCTCAGAGAAAGGTTTTGTGTGAGTGGGTCAAACAGCTGCGGTTTCCTGATGGTTACGCTTCCAATTTGAGCCGATGCGTTGATTTGCAATCAGGTAAGTTACATGGAATGAAAAGTCATGATTGTCACGTGTTCATGGATAGGTTGTTGCCCACTACTTTGAGAGAATTTCTCCCTACCCATATATGGAATGCAATTACAGAGATAAGCCAATTATTTCGTGATTTATGTTGCTACACAATTACAGTTAGCGACATGGAGCGATTGGAAAAAAACATAGCTGAGATCCTGTGCAAGCTTGAGAAGGTTTTCCCCCCATCTTTCTTCAACTCCATGGAGCATTTACCAATTCATTTGCCATATGAGGGCAAGTTATGTGGACCTGTTCAATATCGGTGGATGTATCCTTTCGAAAGGTAAATCAAAGGTCCTTTCTCAACTCTTACTTTCATCTCTTTCATTGATTTCCGTTACTTATACTTCTACGGCTACATAAACATAATTACAGGTTCCTCAATTACCTGAAACGAAAAATTGGTAATAAGGCTCGTGTTGAAGGTTCCATATGCAACGCTTATCTCACTGAAGAGATATCAAACTTCTGCTCCAATTACTTTCAGCCCTCAGTTGACACAAAAACACGAGATCTAGGTCGAAATGTGAATGTTGATGTGGAATCCCCGGCTGACAACGATGAAATCCCAGAGCTGTTCACGGTGGATAAGGGTCGTGTGTCAAATTTGGGTAAAACTCGGTATTTAGATGACAAGGAACGCAAACGTGCTCATTTGTTCGTTTTAAGAAATACCGGCATTCTTGGTGAATACGAAAGGTATATATGTTTACGATAAACATTTAAAAATCCCTTAAATTTAATATAATTGCTGCAATGATTAACCATGTGTCATTAATCTATTAGGCACTTTGAGGACTACATTCTTAGTACTCGAACTTATTTGCGTTGAGAAGATGTCATGGAGAAATGCGAAAGTGAATTCCTTGATTGGTTTCATCACAAGATGTCATGGATGATTTTGGATGAGTGAGGGTCGATATTTGACATATGTGCTTATTTCTCTTAATTTCTATCCTTAGGCACTTAAAAGCAATTGATATTGGAATGTTAGAAGAAAGAAACCTTACATTTGCTTGAAAACCTAGAAAATAGGCATGGTTTTAGCCATATAGGCCAAATTTGGATGATTTTGGATGAGTGAGGGTCGATATTTGACATATGTGCTTATTTCTCTTAATTTCTATCCTTAGGCACTTAAAAGCAATTGATATTGGAATGTTAGAAGAAAGAAACCTTACATTTGCTTGAAAACCTAGAAAATAGGCATGGTTTTAGCCATATAGGCCAAATTTGGGTGATTTTGGATGAGTGAGGGTCGATATTTGACATATGTGCTTATTTCTCTTAATTTATATCCTTAGGCACTTAAAATCAATTGATATTGGAATGTTAGAAGAAAGAAACCTTACATTTGCTTGAAAACCTAGAAAATAGGCATGGTTTTAGCCATATAGGCCAAATTTGGATGATTTTGGATGAGTTAGGGTCGATATTTGACATATGTGCTTTTTTCTCTTAATTTCTATCCTTAAGCACTTAAAAGCAATTGATATTGGAATGTTAGAAGAAAGAAACCTTACATTTGCTTGAAAACATAGAAAATAGGCATGGTTTTAGCGATATAGCCCAAATTTTGATGATTTTAGATGAGTGAGGGTTGAAAATTGACTTATGTGCTTAATTTTCTTAATTTCTATCCTTAGGCACCTAAAAGTATGCGATATAACTCCATATTGTTGGTTGTTTTTTTAACAATATTTTTTTTTATCTTCAATATTTTGTAGGACACCTACCATAAGAAGCTCGAAAAAACAAGGAGTCAGGGGATTCAGAAGAGTCCCAATGAGTTGTACTGGGAGTCGGTGGGTGGGCGCAATAAGAAGGGGCGTGTGAAGGGACTTGGCCAAAGTGCAGAGCTCTACTATGGCAAACAGGGTCGAGGTTCCCGTTCTTCACACCAATACACGCCGTCTGTCATTTCTCAAATGCAAGACCAGATGGAACACAGGATGCAAACTCTCCAAACTCAAATGGAATCTCGAATGCCTGAAATGGAGAGGAGATACAAGGAGAGTTTCGATGAGATGATGAGTCGTCTCAACAACAACGACTCATGTTCCACCATTCATCCTCAGCATCGAGACCCTAGGAACGACCCGGGTGGTGGTGGAGCAGGCCAGGGTTTCCAGGCGATTGCGTAGCTTAGCTTTAGTCTAGCATAGAATCACTCTAACCTAGCTTTTGTTTGGTATAGATACCAAAATGTGGACTATCTTTTGTACTAGGACATAATTATTATTATATATATATGTACATAACCCTAATTTTGTAGGTCGGTAATTAATTTTTTTAAAACAACAATTTTAGGACTAAATATTTAGTTTTTTTTTTGTCGATTTATCATTAAAAAAATTCAGGTTTGAAAATGCAGAAAATTACAAAAATTTGTTTTGGGCTGGAAATACAATTTGCGACGGAATATTTCGTCGTAATTTACATATTTGCGACGGAATTTTCCCTCGCAAAATATAATTTGCGACGGAATTTTCCCTCGCAATTTTGCTGTTTTTTTGTAGTGTAATCCAGGTCGCGTAGTGTCCTTACAGTTGCCAATTATGTTAAACCCCACGCCAACTGGGTGTTGACCTAAGCTGGGACTTATGCCACGCCAACTAGGTTGAACCAATGCCAACTAAGTGCACCCAACGCCAACTAGGAGGAACCTACGCCATTTGTATAGACTCTACGTCATTCTACTGCAGCTAAGTGGAGCCAGGGAGGGAATTTGATGCTGCCTAGACTAAACTAATGAAGAAGTATGCTCTTATGCTCCTCTAACTTAGTGAGAAAGAAATGTATAACTAATAAATTGGCGTAGGTTAAACTCATGTTGGCGTGGGTTAAAGCCATTTTGGCGTAGGTGTTTTAGCAATTGTTGTTGGTTTAACCGAGTTGGCGTGGGTTAAAGCCATTTCGGCGTAGGTTTAACTGAGTTGGTGTCGGGTAAATCCCGATGGCATGGGTCAACCATTTTGGTGTGGGTTTTCTAGCAGTTGTCATTGTGTTCAACCCACTTGGCGTAGGTTTTAGCAGTTGGCGTGGTGTTCAACCCCGTTAGCGTAGCGTTCTAGCGGTTGGAGTTGTATTGAGACTAATCCTACGCCAACTAGGTTGAACCAATGCCAACTAAGTGGACCCTATGCCAATTAGGTTGAACCTATGCCATTTTGAAAGACTCTACGCCAACCTACGACAACTGGGATTGTCTACGCTAACTGGGTTGAACACCACACCAACAATATTGAACTTTACCCACGACCCCATTAAATCGACCCAAAACTTATTAGTTGGTAGCGCCAACAGTATCTTCGACTCTGAGTATACTTGTTCTAATAAACCCAACTAAATCTTACTCTGAACTGACGTGGTGTTCAACCCTGTTTGCATAGGGCTTTAGCAGTTGGCATGGTGTTCAACCATGTAGGAGTAGTGTTCAAGCAGTTGGCGTGGTGTTCAACCGATGGCGTAGTGATTATTCTACGCCAACTAGGTTGAACCAACGCCAACTAAGTGGACCCCACACAAACTAGGTTGAACCTACGCCAACTGGATCAAACCTATTTGTTAACTTTTGAGCATAGTTAATTCAATTATGTAATTAACTCCATGCATGTTAAGTTCAAACACAAGCCAAGGAAAATTAAGCCGAAAGGGCTGGCCACACTACGCGCATTGGCTGCCCTAGTTTCAAGAAAAAGAAGAACAAACGAAAATAAAACAAGCAAAACACCAAACAAAAACAAAACAAACTAAACAAAAACTAAGGAGGGACCAGGTGGGTAAGGCTACTCCCCTAGCATCCTCCGCTAAAATACTACTAAGCTCTACCGGAACCGAACGAATTAGAATAAATTTTGTGTCGTGAATGACTCTGCGGTTGGCTAACTAATTCGCCGCGTGATTTCTTTCCCTATAGATGTGTGCAACCTTGATCTTCCAGCTATCTTCTCTGATCTTGTTGAGACAAATCTCATGAGCGCATTTACCCCTTCCTGCTTCACTTTTCTATAAAATCTGAATACACGCAAGATTATTATCTAATAGAATCTCCAATTGATTAATCTGTAGGCTACGAGCTAACTTA